GGAGAAATATCAATAACCTCAGATATGCAGATGACACCACCCTTATGGCAGAAAGTGAAGAAGAACTAAAGAGCCTCTTGATGAAAGTGAAAGAGGAGAGTGAAAAAGTCGGCTTAAAGCTTAACATTCAGAAACTAAGATCATGGCATCCAGTCCCATCACTTCATGACAAATAGATGAGGAAACAATGGAAACACTGTCAGACTTTATTCTTGGGGGCTCCAAAATCACTGCAGATGGTGGCTGCAGCCATGAAATTAAAAGGTGCTTGCTCCTTGGAAGAAAAGGTATGACCAACCTAGACAGCATATTAAAAAGCAGAGAGGTTACTTTGCTAACAGTTGTCCGTCTAGTCAAAGCTATGGTTTTTCCAGTAGTCATGTATGGATGTGGGAGTTGGACTATAAGGAAAGTTCAGCGCCACTGGAGAGATGGTGCACGCGATAAAGAGGCAGGTTGATGAGGGTAAAAGTTCCATTTGGGGTTTGTAAAATATGAGGTGCCTATGGAATATCCAGGTACATATGTCCAATATATCATCGTAAATAAAAATCTTGAGCTCAGGAAAGAGTTTTGGCTACAGAGATATACCTAAAAGTCATTGTCTTCTGGACAGTAGTTATATTCATTAGCATGGATACAATAACTCAGTGTATAAAATAAGCAGCAGCTAAGTAACAGAACTCAGGTATACCTGCTTTTAAAGGGCTAACAGTAAGAGATAAGAATGATCAGAAAAACTGAAAAGCACAAGAAATTGATCTCACCAGAGCCCAGGGATCAGAAAAAAAAGGGGATGGTTAATAGTATGTTATGTGATGTTAACACATAACACCAGGTCAAGTTAACTGCTGGAAAGTGTCTATCAAATTCAACAATTGTTTACTGGTAAAGTTTGGAAAACTGCATTGGTAGAAAAACCATTTTGAATTTTTCTACCAATTGAGTAAAAGATTGAGTAAGTTGTATAAGAGTATTAGTTCAATATAGTCTCATTTATTTTTTCTTTTTTTACTCTTGCCTGAGAAGACATCCAAAAAGGTATTGCTAAAACCAAATGTAAAAGTGGTTACTGTTTACATTTTCTTCTAGGAGTTTTATGATTTTGGGTCTTATATTTAAATCTTTAATCCATTTTGAGTGTATTTTTGTATGTGGTATAAGAAAATGGTTCAGTTTCATTCTTTTGCATATAACTGTCCAGTTTTCCTGAAAGTGAAAGTGAAAGTCACTCAGTCGTGTCTGACTCTTTGCGAATTCTCCAGGCCAGAATAGTGGAGTGGGTAGCCTTTCCCTTCTCTAGGCGACCTTCCCAACTCAGGTATCAAACTCAAAATCCACATGGCAGGCGGATTCTTTACCAGTTGAGCCACAGGGTAAGCCCAAGCACCATTTATTAAAGAGGGTGCCTTTCCCCCATTGCATACTATTCTTGCCACATGAAAAGATGCTCAACATCATTAATTATCAGAGATGTGCAAATCAAAACTACAATGAGATATCACCTCACACCTGTTAAAATAGCAATTATGAAAAAGAAGATACAAGTGTTGGTGATTGCAAAAAAAAAGGGAATTCGTGTACACTGTTGATGGGAATGTGAATTGGTGCAACTGTTATGGATGACAGTTGGAAGTTCCTCAAGAAATTAAAAATATAACTACTTTATTATATGGAAGCTTCCTAAGTGTCCATTGATAAGTGAATGTATAGAAGATGTGGTATACACACACACACACAATGGAATATGATTCAGCCATACAAAAGAGTGAAATCTTGCCATCTGCAGCAACATGGATGGACCTGAAGGGTATTGTGCTAACTGAAAGAAACAAGGCAGAGTAACAGTTACTATATGATTTCACTTATATGTGAAATCTGAAAAACAAAAGGAAACAGCCTTATAGGAACAGAAAAGAATCTAGTGGCTACCAGAGGGGAAGGAGTCGGGGGACAGATGAAATAAGTGAAGAGAATTAAGGGGTACAAAATTCTGACTGTAAAATAAATAATGAAGTAGAACATAGAAATATGTCATAATACTGCAACAACTTTGCATGGTGACAATGATACCTGGACTTATCATGGTGGTCAGTTAATAATGTATTCAATATAAAAGATCAAATCACTATGTTATACACCTGAAAATAACATCATGTTGTATGTTAAATATAACTCAATTTAAAAAAAAAAAAGAAGTGAAGAAAAGAATGAGAAACTGGAAACTTCAGTATAGACTACTACATTAAGTTTGGGCTTCCCAGTGGCTCGACGGTAAAGAATCTGCCTGCAATACAGTAGACCTGGGTTCAATCCTGGAAGATGCCCTGGAGAAGGAAATGGCAACCCACTCCAGTATTTTTGCTGGGAAATCCCATGGAGAGAGGAGCCTAGTAGACTACAGTCCATGAGGTTGCAAAGAGTTGGACATGACTGACCGACTAACACTATTACTATGTTAAGTCCCTTTTATGAAAGGAAGATAACTAGAACAATAGAAGAGCTTTTAAAATTCAGAAATATTGTGATTTTTTTCAGGTAGACAAACCAAAACAAGCAGACAAAAAAGTATATTTGCCTACAGAGAAAAGGCGGTGAAGGAAATGAAGACATAGTGGAAAAAAATACACAGAACAATTACTGATATAACAAAGTTCTTGATTCAAAGAACAGATTAGGGGATTAACCCTGGAAAGAACCAAATATATCCATTTGCCAGAAAAAGAGAGTAAACATAGATGTGGGCTGATGTAGATGACCTGGGAAATCAAAAGGTACAAGGACAAGAAATGGAGAGATTGCTACCTGTTGCTCTCTACTTATTCCATCAATTTGAAACTAAGTAAAATACTAGGTTCTGAGTGAGAAAATCACATTTTTAAAAATTCTGAAATGAATCTTGTATGTTGCTAGTGTGAACATAAAATGGTGAGCCTATATGGAAAGCAGCATGGTAATAATTTTTCAAAAACAAATAAAAATAGATGAACCATACATTCCAGCATTTCCATTTCCCAGTATTCACCCAAAAGAATTAAAAGCAGAAACACAGATATTTGTACATCCTTATTCATAGCAGCATTATTCACAAGAGCCAAAAGACTGAAGCAACACAACTTTCCATTGATGGAAAAATTGATAAACAAAATGTGATATATGCATAAAATTACATATTATTCCACCTTAAAAAAACGAAAATTCTGAGACACTCTACAACATGGATGAAACTTAAGACATTATGCTAAGTGAAATAAGCCAGTCGCAGAAGTACAAATACTATACAACTCCATTCATATGAGGCACTTGAAATAGTTAGATTCATAGAGACAGAAAGTAGAATGGTGATTGCCAGGACCTGGAGAAAGGAGACAATGAGGAGTAATCATTCTATGCTGGATGTAGAATTTCAGTTGTCCAAGATGAAAAAAGTTCTGGAGATGGGTGGTGATGATGATCACACAATATGAATGTACTTAATGCCATTGAACTGCATACTTAAAATGGTTAAAATGGTAATTTGATGTGTATTTTACACAACTGAAAAATAAATAATAATTTTTAAAAATTATGAAATGAGAAGAGTTTTTACTGACTCTTCTTAACAATGAGAATGAAATATGTCTAGGGATCCCTAACTAAAGGGGAGGAGGTGTTGGTTTAAGGATATATATTTGTAACAAGATTTTCTTTCACAGTGTATGGTTGGCCCAGATTGTAGTGGGAAGGAGGGTAAGAAGCTAAGAATCTTGTTGGCAGAGTAGTGGTATGGATAAATCATGCACTATAGTCACATAAAGAAAGATAGAAAGTAGGAGGTAAGTTAATACACTAAGAGAAAAGGGAGGAGTCAAAAATTAGCTTTCTCAAGACATTGAAGAGCAGATGTAGGCTGAAAAGGAATAGAGTAAAAACTGCAAGTATAATGCTGGTAATAGCATTTCAAAAGTGGAGCCGATCCAGGTGTTTCCCCAAGGTTGGAAAAGCAATAGCCCAGTGCTGGTAGTAAATATAAGCTACTTCTTTTCAACATCTCTGTGAAAATGAGAGAATTTGGGGAGATAATCAGAGAATTCCTCAGCATACTGATGATGATGTAAGCAACAATATCTTAACTATCTCTTCTGGGTAATAATTGAGTTGAAAATTTTCAAATGTATTTCTTATTATTATATTGTTGTATCCAAAGACATATGTTGATGTCTTTGATTTAAATAAATGATCATAAAATCAAAAAGTGTTCTTGACTAGAATCATTTTAATATTGAAATATTTAGCTTTTTTCCTTCTGTTTCTCCTGTCTTTACTACAGGAGAAAAAAATTAGCAATATTCATACTCAAATTATAGTCATTATATATATCCTTTTCTCTCTAGGGTGACTCTGGTGGACCTCTGGTTGGTGCAGATAATAAAGGCACTTGGTTCCTTGCTGGTATTGTAAGCTGGGGAGATGAGTGTGCCCTTCCAAACAAGCCTGGCGTCTACACTCGAGTGACACATTATCGAGACTGGATCATGTCCAAAACTGGGCTCTAGTGCAGAAGCGCTTCATACATTAAAGTTCAAAAATTATGCCCTTGTTAAATATGTGTGTAATTTCACACCATATTTAACTTAGTATCACCTCTCTTTATGCACATTTAATGTTCCAAATTTAAACATACCTGTATAATTTTAGAATTATGAAAACTTTTTGTGTATTAAATTTTGACAAATATTTAGTGATAGCAATGGACCAGGACACAGAAATCTCCTTTCACCCCTCTCTGGACTGAAGGCAATTATTTGAGTAAATATGGATTGCAGTTTACTAAGGAGATCTTCTCTCTTGATTTGTAGATCCAGATCCCTTGGGAAGTCACAGATTAGGTGTTATCAATAAACTCCCTTCTATTGCATATAGACAATCTCCTCCTGAATCAGATGGACTCCTCCAGATCCACATATCGGTGGGTGGGTTGTGAGCTACTGAGTTGCAATAATACTGCCTATAAAAAGTTTTTCAGGAAAATTTGTCTACTTGTTTTCTTTCTAGTTTTTGTACTAATGCTAATCCCCTATTGATGGCTTCCTTCCCTTGAGTGACACACAATAGCATGATAATCCCATGAACTATCCCAAGTCAATAGATTTCTTGACAAATTCTGATGTCCCTACTATACTGTTATATGATATAGTTATAACTAAGTATCTACCTAGCATAGTACTCTAAAAAGAAATATTTGTTGTGAAATTTTTGCATGAGTTAACACAGTAGGTTTATTATTTGATTGGTCTTAAAATACTCTGCTATATCTTGAGTCATACATGTGTAAAAATTAACATTTCTATGCCCCCCAAAGTAGTGCTGAAGTCCTGGCCAGTGTTCCTGGGCCCAAGAAGGCTGTAACGTGCATTATGGAGAAAATGTATAATTTAGATGAGCCTTGTCAGGCATAAGCTATAGTGTTGTGTCCATGAGTTCAATGTTAATGAATCAAAAACCTTGTACATCCAGAAAAGGGAGGAGGAAATTTGCTGATCTGTACATGAGGCTGCTTCAGAGAGTTCTAAGCTGAAACCCATAGTATATGACGAAACCATAGGAAAACTGCACAATGGTGAAATTTGTGGATTCATGAGATGAGGGCTGATTTGTTTTTAAACAAGTCAAAATAATTTTAATCGGCAAAATGTTACAACTTCAAATGGTATTTACACTGACAACACAAACATCGTCTAAAAGATCTTAACGAAATAGTTTAAATTCACTTTTTCTTATTCCATCTTCAGAATCCATTGTGCATTTTATGCTCAAAGCACATCTCAGTTCAGCTAAGCCAAACTTCAGGTCAGTCGCCACCTCTGGTTGATGGCTATAGTGCTGGTCAAACCCATGTCTCATCCATTTTGAGTTGAAGTTAAATGATAGATTGTCTTTCATTCTAACTAGCATCCCGAATATCAGAAGTTCTAGGCCAAGGGTCAATTATTTGTATTTTTTATTGGAGTATAATTGCTTTACAATGTTGTGCTACCTTCTGCCGTACAACAAAGCAAATTACCTTTCCATATACATGTATCCCTTTTGGACTTCACTCCCACCCTCTCCATCCCACCCACTAGGTCATCACAGAGCACCGAGCCAAGTTCCTGTGCTATATACCAAAAGTTCTCACTAGCTGTCTATTTTACACATGGTAGTGTATTTATGTCAAATGCAATCACCCAATTCATCCCACCCTCCCCTTCTTACCCTGTGGCCACACGTCTGCTCTCCACACCCATGCCTCTATTCCTGCCCTGGAACTAGGTTCAGTTCAGTCGCTCAGTAGTGTCCAACTCTTTGTGACCCCATGAACCGCAGCAGGCCAGGCCTCCCTGTCCATCACCAACTCCCAGAGTCCACCCAAACCCATGTCTGAGCCAGTGATGCCATCCAACAATCTCATCCTCTGTCTGGAACTAGGTTCATCTGTACCATTTTTCTAAACTATATGTACATGTATTAATATACAATATCTGTTTTTCTCTTTCTGACTTACTTCATTTTGCATGACAGCCATAAATGGAATGAAACTGGGTCATTTTTAGAGATGTAGTTCAATCTTAAGGGCTGATTTGTTAAAGTATAGTGGACAGCATTGTTGTGAGGCTGAAAATCAAAGGAACTCATGGTAACTAGTTTGCATGTTTCAAACTAGTTATAATGTGATATTGTGATATAGTATTATAGTGTGGAAAATGTTGAACTTGCAGGTGAGGCAGTTTCTGCGCATCAGGGATTTGGGGAAGAATTTTTAAAGATGTACAGTTGATTTATAATATTATGTTAAAGAATTTTTTAAAATATCTGCTATGTATTTTACAGGAAAAGGCTTGTGTAAAGAGCAGGTGTTCAACACTGATGACTTTTGGCTTGTTTTTATAAGGATATTGACAAATGAACCTGTGTGATGCAAGTGATATTTTTGGCTCGCAGAAATTTAACAGTGTATTTTCACTAGAATCAGTGGTTCGGTATTTACTAATTCAGAGTTCATGGCAACTTTATAGAATATAACTACCACAAATAAGTAAAGTGAACTGTATATTTATGCTATATTTTTGTTTAAAAATGCATGTGTTACATTTTTCTAAGAAAACACACTCCTCTTGATTTCGAACTCATCTATCTCCACCACTAATTTTCCTAAAGCAGTCTATTTCAGAACCAAAACAATCTGTTAGAAAATATTTCCAGATCCTTCAGAAAGGCACTTAGGAAGTAGATTCCACATCCTATGGTATAATATTTCATCCAAGTCTAGAAGTAGGGAGGAAGCCAGTATTTCTGAGCATATAGTGACAACAAAAGGGAACCCAGATAGGCAACTGGTCTAAGCTGCTCAAAACCCAGGAGCTAGGACAGAAGAAATGAAGGGGTCCATAAGGTAAGTCCAGCCCTCTTATCCATCCTTATATAGTACCAGATAGACCCCTTCAGGGCCTGGGTGGTGCTATGTTGTTGGTGGTGGTTAGTCTCTAAGTCATGGCTGACTGTCTTGTGACCCCATGGACCATAGCCCACAAGAATCCTCTGTCCATGGGATTTCCCAGGCTAGAATACTGGAGTGGGTTGCCAGTTCCTTCTCCAGGGGATCTTCCTGATCCAGGGATTGAACCAATGTCTTCTGCAATGGCAGGTGGATTCTTTACCACTAAGCCACCAAGGAAGCCCAGATGATGCTACACTCATGTTTCATTCACCTGCCAAGAGAGTATGTATAGCAGGTATTTAGTAATTATTTATTTAATAAATGAATGTAAGACAACAAACAGATAAATGAAAGTACAAGAATGGGCCATCTAAATTAAAATAGCCACCCTTACTTTTAACATTATTCTTTCTTTGGCTGCTACAGAACAAAACCTTCTGAAAATAAGACAAATCAACCTGGTGATTTAATAAATTCCAATCTAAGTCCTACCAGTAGTAGGACACAAGATCATCAAGCACTCACTGTGTAAGATACAGCAACACCACAGAGAAGTTTCTAAATGGCCATAATGTGAAATGATCCAATTACAATATAAAGGGATGTATATTATATATGAACATGCATAGATGTGGTTAAAGCATTTATGCAGTATTCCCTCTAATACCTAGCTACCCTGTAAAATAATGTGCAAAAACAGCAAGTACAATAATTAGACAATTATAAAATCAAAGCAATGACAGAAAAATTATTCATGAAGTTAATGATTTTATCTAAACATTAAGATTGATTAATAAATTTGAATGCATCTCAGTATTAGATCAAATTGATTCTAACTGTTTAGGTACTAGTTTGATGTTTCATAGAGGACAGTTCTGAATAAATATATTTATCTAGTGTTTCAATGCTCAGCATTGTGTGATCGAAAAGAAAACAAATTTTTTGAGAAATTAAAAATTTGTGTACTTTAAATTACAAATCTTAACTGGATCAAGTTCTTTTTTAGTATTTTCTTCTTTTTCATTTTGCATCTATTGAACAGAACACTTAACATTTTTTTTTTTTTTAGAAAACATCTTCACTAGAGTTACTTGAATAATATCCTAAGTGAATTTTAAATACAAAATTAAGTTTCAAACGTCCTTCTTCACTTAGGAAAAATGTTGTGAAAACCAGGTCATCTGCTAAGATACTGCAGTTACATTTGGCCCTCAGAAAGTGTTTGTCTGCTTTGCTTTAGCACTCTGCTGGATTACAAGCCAACAAAACAAGTTCACCTTGATCTTTCACTTTAAATACAAAGTATCTCAGGGACAAAATTTGACATAAATATAAACTTGTGACGTTACCAGACAAAGAAGGCTGAAATAAAATAGGACTCCAACTGCAATTACAATAAAACATCAGAAGTGCCAGGAACACGAGTCTTGAAGCTGTCTCAGCCATAAAGGATGGCAGACGGTGACTCTCCTGAACAGAACGAAAACCACTGTTCCGCCATCAACAGCAGCATCCCACTAACACTGGGCAGCCTCCCCACCCTGACGCTATCTGGGAAGATCCGAGTGACAGTTACTTTCTTCCTTTTTCTACTCTCCACAATTTTCAACACTTCGTTCTTGTTGAAACTTCAGAACTGGACTCAAAGGAAAGAGAACAGGAAAAAACTCTCCAGAATGAAGGTGCTTTTAAAACATTTGACTTTAGCCAACTTGCTGGAGACTCTGATTGTCATGCCACTGGATGGAATGTGGAACATTACTGTTCAATGGTATGCTGGAGAGCTCCTTTGCAAAGTCCTCAGCTATCTAAAGCTTTTCTCCATGTACGCCCCCGCCTTCATGATGGTGGTGATCAGTCTGGACCGCTCCCTGGCCATCACCAGGCCTCTAGCAGTGAAAAGCAACAGCAAGCTTGGACAGTTCATGATTGGCTTGGCCTGGCTCCTCAGTAGCATCTTTGCTGGACCACAGGTAAACCAATATTGCAAACTTTTTATGGAGATACAGATTTCCTATCTAAATCTGAATGAAAGTGTTATCAAAGGTAGTATTGTATTATCTCTAGGAACTTGGGCTCTGGAAGTCAGAGTGTGGAATTTAATCATGACTTTGCTCTGTTACCTTTGGCAAATGTCTTAACCTTTCTGGGTTTCAGGTCTTGCATTTATAAAATGGAGGTAATGTCTACTTGATGCACCTTTGTAATGATTAAAAGGATAATTTGTTAAGTTTTCTATCATACTCTCTGATACACAGTAAATGCTCCCTCAAAATGAAGCTATTCTCAAATTTGAACTCATCCTCATTTGATTCTTCCATCTACATTTTCTTTTACTCTGGTTGACATGGTAAATTGGGAGAATCTTTAGGAACAATAAAATTTGCATAGGTAGAAAGTATGCATAACTTGTTTTATTTGAAACTTCAGCATAGAGAGAACTAGCCTTAATTAGTATGTTCTGCAGTTTGCAGCTGGGTGGGATTGAATAAAGAGGAAATGTGGGGCATCTTAGACTTTTGGATATTTGAACATTTCCCTGAGGTTGACTTGAGCTTTTTCTGGAGGTAGATGAGACTGTAACAGGCTGTTAGCAAAACTCTACTACTGTTGGTGCAGGCAAGGCCCTCTCCTTCAGAAAGCAGGTAGACCTCCAGACTGTCTTCTTCAGAGGCACCCCAGTTGATGGATCTTCAGAATCTGCCTCTTCAACAGTCAAATCTCTGAAGAAGATGACACATTCTTGAAAATGGCAAAGATGAACAAGTTGTCTCTATGTGTGTGAATGTACCCTGTGATGAATCCATGGTACAGGGATGTGTCAAGAAGTCGGAGTTTACCATGATCCTCCAAAAACTTGTCACTAAAAATAGAAATTTAACTAGAGATTCTAAACTAGCCAGCTGGCATAAAAACAAACAAACAAACAAATAAACAAGAGCTGCCACACAGGATGCACTAAATAGTTCAAGACACTAGAAAGTTAGATAACTATGTTTTCCCAATTCCTCACTTAACATTTTTTGTATATCAGTGTGTGTTTTATGGCAGAAAAAAACAAAATGCTTTGATTTCCCTGAGAAAAGTATATTAAAATTATTCTCACAGTGACTGCATATACAAGAATTAATTTAGCAAATATGTCACTTAAATGAGGTTACTTAGCAAAGGTTTATGCTCTGAAATTTTCCACTTTATTTCTTTGAACTATGAGTGATGTGTATTTGTGTATTGTTCAATTTTCTTAGAGAAGATAAACACAGGTTGGGTTCCTAACATTGAACCAGGTACTGATGAGACAGACAGAAAATGTCATTCAGTTATAGAAATGAAACCTATACAAAATGAATACAACTATGTACAAAAAAGTTTTCAAGCCTATTACCAGTGTAAGAAGAGAGAGAGATGAATTATTAGAGTTAAAATGGTGAAGGAAGGGTAAAAGGGTAAAAGTAGGATAAACTGAGTTTTTAAAGATGAATGTATTTGAATGGAAAAAATAAGCCAAGGATCACATGTATTTTTCAGCAAAAGTTGTAAAGTGATTAATTTTCAAAGGAGACCTGTTTGGCTGAAGTGACAGACTGACAATAGCAGGAAATTAGATTTCATGGTTGCTGCCTTTCCTTTGACCTCATGGCGCACTGTTTCTTTGTCAGAAAACACTGTAATTATGTACTTGTTTGTCTTTGCCATTATGATATATGCTGCTAAAATAGTGACAACTGTTGTGTTCAATTTAATTCATATTCAAAATACCTAATGAGACACCCAACAAAAATATAAATTTAAAATGTTTGGATACTCTGGTTCCTCTTCAGATCAAATAAACCTTTCACCTTTTACTAAAATGAAAACAAAGTTTGGATAGATGAATCAATGAATGGAGGTGGAATGGATGTATATAACAGAAGATAGCTGGGGGAAATTCTGAGAACAATGTGGAAGCCATATAACTTTCATGAGCCTTATGCAAGGATTAAAGTGATTTTTTTTTTTGTTTTTGTTTATTTTCAGTTTTCTGAGAAACAGTCTGTATACATCACCATGTAGGTTTAATGTGTACAGCATGATAGCTTGATTTGCACATAATGTGAAATGATTAACACAATAGTTTCAGCTAACTTCTTACATCATCTCATATTGACACAATGAAAAGAAAAGAAAAAAGTTTTCTTTCCTTGTGATGAGCACTCTTAGGATTTACTCTAACAAGTTTTCTAAACATCATACATCAGTGTTAACTGTGGCCATCATGTTGTACATTATTAAAATGATGTACATACGGAAATTTACATATGGGTCACAGAATATGGTAGAATTGACGCTATTTTGTTTTGTAAAACAAATGACTCATCCTTGCTTTCAGCAGCACTTTACATTGATAAAGCACTTTGCTGAAGTTTCCTGAAAGACCTCACGTTCATAATCTTACTTGGTATTTACACTGACTCTGTGAGGTACATAAAAGCTACACTATTATCCCCATTTCACATAAAAAAGACCATTCAAAGAGAGCCTTTAGAATCAATGTCCTTCAAACCTTCTTGACAGAAATGGAAAGAAAGAAATACACACTACATAAAGACTTAATTGATGTCTCATAGACCTATAATTGAGAAAAGTTTTCATAAAATAAATACTCTATTCTGTTCCATTTCATTGTTTATTACAGATTACAACCAACTAATGGGTACAACCCGCAGTTTGAAAAGTATTCACTTAAAAGGATTAATTGTTTGCCCAATGCCACTTGACCTATTGAACTCCTGTCTTTTTGTTAAGTCCAGTTTATCTTTTTATTATAGCTCTCTGCTCTTTGTCTCTGAATAAAAGAGGCTTCAACCCTGTGACTAATGTTATGTGTGCGTGATGGGGAAGACAAGAGACAGGAAAGGCTTTTGATTTGAAGGCTGTGTGACACAGTGGGTATAGCTCATGTTTCACCGCGCTCCACAAAGCCCATTGACAAAAGCACATCCTGTTGTGGCTAATTTAAAAGGAGTTCGAAAGGATGACTTTTAATTTTCATCCTTTGGTTGCTGTCGTTCAGTGGCTCAGTTGTGTCCGAATCTTTGCAACCCCATGAACTGCAGCACACCAGACTTTCCTGTCCTTCACCAACTCCCAGAGCTTGCTCAAACTCATGTCCATTGAGTCGGTGATGCCATCCAACCATCTCATCCTCTGTCGTCCCCTTCTCCTCCTGCCCTCAATCTTTCCCAGCATCAAGGTCTTTTCTAATGAGTCAGCTCTTCCCATCAGGTGGCCAAAGTATTGGAGTTTCAGTTTCAGCATCAGTCCTTCTAACGAATATTCAGGATTGATTTCCTTTAAGATTGGATTCATCCTTTGGTATATAATGGATATTCTATCACTTGATTAATTCATGCTAGGTTGGAAAAAGAAAAAAAAACTAACAAGCTAGTTGTCATGTTCCCAGGAACCTGAGAATTTATGACATTTTGCTAGAGTTCAGAATGACCAACTTTCAAACTGACCACCTTGCTTTTCCACCTTGCTGATCTGTGATGATTTGGGGATATATTTTCAGAACTTTCAGTGTACTGTGACCAAAATTTTATACTTTTGCTTGTAATTGAATCTGTATGGAGCTTCAATAAATGAAACAGATAAAAGTGGAGTTGCTCTGGTCAAATGGGGATAAGGGACCCCCCAGTCCTCTCTTTGACCATTCACCAGCTCCAGTCCTAGCCTCTGAAGACCTCAGATATCCCTGCAAGCCTGAAAGACAGTGGGATTTAAACAAAGCTGGTTTCAAATCTCAGTGCTGTCTCTTACCAACTATCTGAGTAAATTACTTAACCAAGTTTAAAAGGGCAATTGTAAGAAGTGCTATAAAGAGTAAGATATACACAATCATATATAAGACTTTAAGTATAAAGTCTTAAAAATGCATTACTATCCATTCATTCCCCTTTTCCTACCTTAATTATGTCCTTCATAATAGGATTTTTGAAGTCAGGAGAACAAAGTTTTAGGGAAATATGAGTATGAAAATAAAATAATTATTTAAGAAACAGCAAACAAAATTGCTTATGTAAAGATTGCTTCAGATTTCTCAAAATTATGACATTTATTCTGACTGATAAGTAAATTTGGCCAATGTCCTACCTAGTTACTAAGCTGTATTACTCACTCTAAAAGTTTTGTATGCCAGAGCATAATGATTCAAGTCTTGGAGGTATTGTTTCTAAAAGTAGGATAAGAAAGGAAGAAAAGTAGGAAGGGAGAGGAAGGCAAGGCAAGACAGCCAACAGGACTGGAAAGGATATCTGACTTAAGACTGACTGTGGTTAGGCTAGCAGGTGCATGTTAAGGAGAAAACATTTCCTGAATATGGTGTGTCCATATCCAATTAAAAAATACAAGGTTTCTGATGACAGTCATCTAAGACCACAAGAATTCCAGAGCAGCAGATTATTTGCAGATAGAGTGCACATCACTAGTTTCTCTGTGCTACTAGGGACACTTATATGTTGACAGCTTTTTAATTCTGTAGGTAACACAGGCCTGCAGAGAAAATGCAGTCACCCTCGATATCCCCAGGGGATTGTTTCCTAGACATCCTCTTTCCCCACCATGGTGGCCTCAGATAAGAAATTTCCCAGATGCTCAAGTCCCTTCTAAAAAATACGGTATAGTATTTGCCTGTAACCTATGTACACCCTCCTATATATTTTAAATCATCTCTAGATTACTTATAATACATAATACAATGTAAATGCTCTGCAAAATAATTGTAAATACAATGTAATATTATATAGACAGTTGCTGGAGCTTTCCAAGTTCAAGTCTTGTTCTTTGGAACTTTCTAAAAAAAATTTCCTATTTTTCCATCTGCAGTTGGTTGACTCTGCAGATGTGGAATCACAGATTTGGAGGGTCTGTTGTATATGAGTATTCCTTTATGCTTTGGTGTGAAAATGTGTGATCTGAATAAATGTGGAGG